GTGCTCATGTACGTAACTTTCACACTAGTACTAAAATAAGTAATTTATTTATTTTCAATTTTAGTTAGTAAAAGTTATTAATTTTAGGTTAACTAAAATTAAATTTTTGAAAAAGGGGAAATTAGGGCTGCTTCTTCAGCTTTCAAAAGTGTGATTTTTACTCCGAACCTATTTAACGATGTCAGATTCAGTTCTTGCAAGACATGGAAACAGTCATTTTTATTTATACTACCTTTTATACCCTTGCAGTAAATTATATAATGCCTCCTGTTTGATGGGAAATTGAAATAATATTTTTAGAAGATTTTAATAAAAATCGATGAAGTGTACGAAAGAAAAGTTGTGGATCTCATTACATATGTGATTATAGCCCCCGTTTGGCCACCATTAATTTTTATTACGTTACATTACATTTTTCTCTCTCTTATTTTCAACCACACAATTTTTCATAAAATAATATTACACGTAAATCGAAAATTTTTCCTTCTTTTTCAACCACTCATTTTTCAAAAAATACTATTATACTCATTTTCAACTCTGCAAAATGGGGGCCAAACAGGGGCTAAAACTAAATTATGTGATTAAAACTAAATGAACAACAAAAAGCAAAAGAGTGGCCACTTTCCCGACAATTGTTGCCAGCATTCTTCACTCAAAGCAATCGGCAGCCCATCTTGCCACAAGTTCACTTCCTCGCATAAATAACCCCATTAGTTTCATTCCCTGAGGATGTTTCAAACCAAATTGCATTTAAGAGTGTCTTTGCAAGGGCTTTCAATTTTTGGAGGTCAAAAGCTCTTTCTGTAGGTGTGTCAAAATGGCTCGGCCTGCAACCCGACTTGGGAAAAGCCCCATTTTGGGGATGTGGGCTGAGCCTAAGCCAGCCTGCGAGCTTAAAATAAAAAATAGAAAAGAGGCATAAAAGGCAGCCTTTTAAGGTTTAAAAAAAAAAAAAGTCTGCCCGACTCGGCTCGGAAAAGCCCGAGCCAAAAGCTCGGGTCGAGCCGAAATTTTTTGGTCAAGCAAAAGCTTGGCTCGAGCTCGTAAAATAACTTGACCATTTTAACTGAGCTGAGTTTGAGCCGAAAGTTTTAGGCTCGGGCTCGGCTCGTTGACATTATGGAAAAATTGCAGTAGTGGTCCCTAGCCTTTTCTTTTTTGCAGACTTTACCATAACCTTCATTTTGTGCCAACGAAAGTCCCTAACATTTTATAAATATACACTTGATGTCCATCCGAACAGAAACTGTCCAAAATATCATTAGTTGATTGGGAAAATTCCTTGAACTATCTTTTATCGCGATGATTTGATTGGATGTTGATTCCTTAATTTTTTTAGTCAACTGACGGTATTTTAGACGATTTCCATTCAGATGGACCCCAGGTGCATATTTATGAAAGGTTAGGAACCTCCACTAACATAATTGAAGGTTAGAATAAAGTCTACAAAAAATGAAAAAGGTTAGAAACCGTTGCTGCAATTTTCCATCTAAAATATTGACTGTTTGGTTAAAGTTAAAAAGTATTTTTTGAACAAAAAGTCAGTTTAAACAGGCTGGTTTAGAGATGTACAAAATTTCAGCTTCTTTTCAAAACCTTCATTGAGCTTTTATGGAAAGTTGTAATTTATATTTCATATAGCTTTAAATTAACAAAATAAAAAATAGTATTTAAAAGAAAAAAGAGCCTATCAACTTCTAGCCCAGTAAAATAAATATAAAATTTAATCAAAAAATATTTTATAATCGTGATGTTAAACAATCAATTTTAATATTCACAGCACTATTTAGATTTACAACTATATAGTTAATAATATTTTAACAAAAGCTCTACTAACAGTAGCAGTGTCAAAAGAGACCGTCAATCAAGTATCATATATTGTTCTAGTGCTCTTGCAAAAGCTCGGGTCGAGCCGAAATTTTTTGGTCAAACAAAAGCTTGGCTGAAGCTCGTAAAAAAACTTGACCATTTTAATTGAGCTGAGCTTGAGCCGAAAGTTTTAGGCTCGGGCTCGGCTCGTTGACATTATGGAAAAATTGCAGTAGTGGTCCCTAGCCTTTTTTTTTGCAGACTTTACCATAACCTTCATTTTGTGCCAACGAAAGTCCCTAACATTTTATAAATATACACTTGATGTCCATCCGAACGGAAACTGTCCAAAATATCGTTAGTTGATTGAAAAAATTCCTTGAACTATCTTTTATCGCGACGATTTTATTGGATGTTGATTCCTTAATTTTTTTAGTCAACTGACGGTATTTTAAAATACATAGACTGGTTAATTGTTCAAAGATCTTACCATTTATGTTTAAACAAACTTTAATCCAAGAAATTAACAAGTAATTGGGTTGTAGCCCAATGGTCATCTACATGATTTTTTGACATTACAATTCAAGTTTGAGTCACCATGTAGATTTTTTCATAAAATTTTTATAAAAATTATTTTTGAT